CATAAAGCCTGCCATTTGAAATAAATAAATAAATATTTGATACTGGAAGCATTGTTAGAGTTAAGTTAAGACTTAAGTTTAAGATGTAACGAATTTTCTGAGAGTGCTTCAGGCAAATGTGAACATGAAGCAATGATCGGCTGTTAATATTCACATTTGTTTCACTTAAAAAAGACGCAAAATTGCACTTAGAATACCAGTACCAAAATGGACCAAACGATAACAATGTAGACCATGGAAGATGTAAGTTTCCTGAAACAAAAACGTTTGACCGATTGACAGGAAACCATCTAATAGGATTCACATTGCCCTTTGTGTTTATGCTTTGAAAATAAAACAGCGAGTTGCTAACAGCAATAACGCATTCATTATTGATATCGATTTAGGCACACTAAATTTCCTAGGCTCTTGTGCAATAGTTTTCGTAACTGGATCAGATCGATATGCTTTGAAATAGGAGAATCGGTTGGGAAGAAGAAATGGATACGGATTCTACATGACCCACCTCTTTTTATTCACTTAGGAACTCAGTACAATTGGCACGTGATTGTGCCTTAACGTTACCGTCAAATAAGCCACGTATTTACTGCTCATGGAGGATAGTAAAATTATTGATTCTTACAACTTCTAACTCAAAAGTCACATTTTGTTCTTCACGCTTACGCTTCGCTTTCATCTTCATTTCCCTGTCTTCCTCCATCTCATCCTTTAAGTTTACTCTCCTCAAGTGTTGACTAAAACGCACACAATTCCAATGCTTTCACAATCCAACAACCACCGCCCCCACCACCCCAAACTCCTATTGATACACATTGTCTGACTTCTTTTTATCTCCATCTCTGATCTCTTTCCTTTCCTCTTCTACTTCTTCAGGCTCAACTTCATCAAGTTTTCTCTCTTACCTTCTTCATTCAATCTCCAAGCTTTCTCTCCTCTTTCGATTTCTACACCTCACTTTCCTCTTCTCCTACACCTTCTTTTCTACTCACGTATTCTTCCTTCAACTTATCACAACAACCACCATTCCGACTAACACTTATACGACGATTGGGCCAATCTCATATTAAAAACTAATTTAATACCGACTAATTCCTCTAATCCATCTCCCTCTTGCTCCTCCTCACCCTCAACCTCTCCCTCTCCCAACACACAGCACTCCTCAACTCCAAAGGATACGGCTCCTACAGGTTAACGTCAATACTTGTCAAACAGAGAGAGAGAGTTGCACGGGCACTATCTTTCCTCACATCTTACGAAAAAATAGCATTTCAAAACTGTTCTGGATTAGTTGAAAGCTGTAAAAATAACAAAGTTTACTAGACGTAGATAGCAACTCAAAATGATGTCAAATGGTAGAGTTCATCACGCAAACAAATATATGTGGCTGCGAGGATCAAATATTGAAGAAAATTGCTTTCTCTCTTGAATTACTTATGCCCTATATTGGAATATTTCTTCTGAGATTCTGCATGGAGCGTTCTTGGCGTAAGGGAAACAAGCGCTTATATTGCTTATGCATAGCCTTAAGTTGTGCGTTTTACTTGGCATGTTTCTGGCTGATTTTCATCAACTCTGCACGTACTAATGACTTTTGTCAGTCATATTTAAGTTTCAATGTTTCGTTCTGGGGCCTTCACATTTATGAATTTGCTAGTTATCGTGCATTGCACATTAATCTTGTTACAGTAACTTTCTTGTCATTGCTATCTCTCTCTATCTCTGCATTGTGTGAGTTAAGAGAGAACTCGGGAATGTTGGTGCTACATATGTGGTGAATGAGACATTTTGCTGATTTCAGTCTCCTCAAACTCCAATCAGCAGAAGTGGTAAATGACCCTCATGAACTGGTATATCGAGTTGTAATATCGTCTATTTCAATTTACCAACTAAGGAAAGAGATAAAAAGAGTATATCGGTAACATGAGGAGCTATTGGAGTAATTGAATGGGGCGATATTAAAATGACCTAGCTAAGTATGAGATCAGAAAGCCAGAACTCTCTTTCCTCCACTAGGAAACATGACTGGAAATCGACGCCCTCCCAAAGACCATTTGATCGGCTACTCAGATCTCTTTTGTCTCAGCAAAGTTGACCTCTAGAAGACCCCAAGAGTACTCCAAGGCAAGGGAGAAGCTCATGGAAGCCAGTCAACAGATATTACGAAAAGGCAATATTCTTAATGAAGAGATCCTTTGCAAAGAGAAAGAAAGTCGTGAAACAGTTGTGGAGAAGATGGATCGATTCGATGCCAACTTGGAGCAGATCAGCATAAAGTTGGCTCGACTTCTGGGAGAATTCGGCTCAAATCAGGCCAAAAATGAAAAAAAGCTAACTCATTTGGAGAATCAACATTTCGAAACAGTACCACTCAGTGTGAGGACTCACCGTACATCACAGTTCAATTTACAACTACTGAAATGTGTTTAAGTAGAACACGCATTAACAATCATCACATCGTATCAAAGTCCTTTATTGTACATTAATAACAATTTCCAGCAAGCATTTGTTTTCCCTATGCCTCCTTGGTGAGTCTATTGTGGATGTGTTCACAGAGTTTGTGGATCGGTAGACCAACAATGTTGAAGTAGTCACCTTTGATTCCACTGACTAGACTACAACCGATGCCTTAGATCCCGTAGCTACCTGCCTTGTCACTACAAAAAAGGAAGAAAACATGACAATAAACGAACACAAAAATATTATGAGAAAAATCAGAAATCCTACAAACAACTAAGTATTTCTTGCTCGAGACTTGATTGAAAGTCGAACCACTTTTCCTCATCTTGCCAGTCCCCTGAAATAAGAAATCCTTCATTACCTCCAACGCGATACTGGGGCATTAGAAATGAGCGAAAGGGGTGTTGGTTATAAGTGGAGTTCCGGACTTACTCGTGAAACATTTTTTATTTCAACTAGGGAATAATCCAGTTTAAAAGCCACTTTAAGGTACCCGACCAAGTTAGGCTAAGATATTTTCCTCTACAAGACTATTCATCTAACGCACTATCCCCTACCTACTTTGTACCAAGCCCAACACAGAACTCCTATACAAGACAAGTAATTTCCTCTCCAGAACACATCTCTCACATCTTAAACCCCCTTCCATCTGAAAATCATTTACTTTTAATCACATTGGAAATTCTTTACGCCTCGAGATCTATTACGAAAGAAGCCTACGACAATAAACCCCAGGTTGTCAATCAAAATGCACTACCTTTCTTTCTACTATCGCCTAACTATTTAAAACTCCCTCTATCATACACAACACACCCCAATCCCTGTGAACTTGGACACAAACTTATCAATTCCGCCTCTTAAGGGGTTGTTCTGGTCTGCAAAAAAAATCGTATTTTTTGCATATTTTCGTAGTTTAACTATTTAAGAATATGTCTACGAGAGGATTTTCCAAAATTCAGATTATTTTCGGAGATATAAGTATTTTACTGAGCAGGCATCCAAATTGGTTGGGCTGCAACTGACCGAGCAAAAGACATAATGGGTTCTCCGACTAACTGAATCTATATTTCTTAGTAAGGCTTTTGTTCCGTTATATCTATCTATCTATCTATATAAATATACCAGTTTTACGAGTGTAAAAGCAACAAAATTGAGGAAATCAAATGATGAAGAAGTAATTATAGATAATAATTATGGCAGCTGTGTTTTCGAGTTTTTCACGGTCTTTTCAACAATTCCTTAGTTTGTTTCGTGTACTACATACAATGAGATTAGATTTTCAAGAACGGCTCAACGCGGACTCGTGTTCAAAATTGCATTACAATGCAGTTGCAATAGTCTACGCTACATTCCGTCATGTCCATTCGTTGGCAAATCCTTCGAAGTTTATCATCAGAAGAGTTATTGATTCGATGTTTGGGTTCAGAAACTCAAAATAATAATGAGTCTCTAAACTCACTGTTATGGACTTTCGCTCAAAGCATATCCTTTCCGGGTCTCAGATCACTGAAATTGCAAAATTTATTGCTGTGTGTATTTTCAATGAAAACTGTATACCGCTATTGAAGATGATGACGATTATGGGAGTGAAAATTGATCCAGAATCGCTTGCATTTGCTATCAGACGAGACAACAACCGGATTGACCGCTCCGAGATACGAGCTTCCAGCGCATCAAAGGAGGTCAGAACTGCTCGGAAAGAAAACAGAAACCCCGAATATAGTTTTTCCGAGGTCGAGGAAGGTCCGATGTATGCAGCAGGAATGGCAGATTGAATAAATGTAAGTTGAAGATATAATTTTGTGACTTAGACTGCAAAAAATCTTACTTGAAACTTTAAACGCATTTTTCTCAAAACTGATTTTTGAATCGGATACCCCCGATTTCTCAGATTCTGCCGAACCGATTTACTTGAAACTTTAAGAGAGTCTTCTTTAGGGACTTGTCTATGTCCGGAACTACGGCCATCCCCAAATTTTCATTTTTAATATTTTTAAAAATCCAAGAATGTTAAAAAAGTGTTACAAAATTTTTTTTCTTTAGGCAGTCGCCATTTTGTAAGAAAATATTTTTGTATCTTTCCGTAGTTCCAGACATTTCTAGATTATATTTAGGATGAAAATCTTCTGTTTCAGATTGCTTGGAGAGTTAAAATCGTGGGTATGGTCACGCACCATATTTTTGTGACGCCCCAATCCATTAGCAGATAACTAACAGAATTTTAATTTTTTACTTTTTTTTTATTATTTTTTATATGCTTCTAATGTGAATAAATAATGTATAAAAATTGATAATATAAATATTGCTTATTTTTTTACAGCACTTCAAAAATCACCTAAAATTCATGTCTCTAGGCCTGAATACCCATTTAAGGCTTCTCTCTCTCTCTAAACACTCTGTTTCCATTGTCCGGACACCAAATGTCCTGATTGCTTCTACAATCTTTCTCAAGGCCACTGTGCGACAACAGCCCTTCCCAGATAAGAAGACAATGAGCCCAGTGGAGTGCGATCGATGTATCGAACTTCACTAAGATGCGGGAGCAAAATGTGGAGATAAAGTATGAATTGTAGAGTTAGAGGAGCAGTACTTTGTGAGTGAAAATGGCCCTAAATGAAGCAGACCAAATTTATGCCGAAGTGGTGGAATATGACAAAAAGTGGGATTATGTTAGTTTGAAGTCAGAAGTCAACTGTCAGTAAATAGACTTTTTTCCGTTTGAGTATATGTTACCCAGGGTGCATCACGTGGAGTTAAGTCTACCGCCCATCCCTCGTTCCTACAAATGAACATCAAATCCAATGGCCAGTCTAGATGGGAAGTAGGCCACATGGCATTTACTTGGAATTGAAATCAAAGTTTTCAAGGCCTAACACACTGGCCACATCAACAGACATCAAATTGGAGGCATACGCAGTTTACAGAATAAGGAGAGATGCGACAGAACAATAAAATGCTTCTCGATTTTGCAATCGGCAAGGTGAAGAAGAAAAATAGTGCTCTCGTTATTATTCGGAAAATAGTTCAGTCACTTCGATGGAACATTACTTCAATTAAATGAATGCAGTTTCTAACAAGTCGTAATCGCATTTCATCTTGACAACATGAAAAATCAGTTGATTCGGAAAATTGAAATTCAATTAGTTGGTGCATATGGTTGCGAGCACTATGTAAAACACTTGCATGGCATTAGAAGTGGTGCAAAACTAGAGGGGTAGATATTCGTTCTATGTGGCAAGGAGTACACATACGCTTAATAATTTTAAATGGAAACGAATCGTTCAAATAGGTTGCGAAAGAACATTCCAGAAACTATTTGTAACAGAATTCTGTGATTTTTTGTAATGCTAATTAAACTGTGGTTACGATTTATCTATCTGATTTGCATTGCCTAAAATTTACATAATTGTAAAGTGGTTAGTTGGATAAGTATGAAAAGTAGACAACCGCACGAAAAAAGCCGTGGATGTTGGCAGTTATGGCCACGTCTACTCTCATCACTTGGTGACAGTTATTGAAACGTATTAATGCAACTGCCTCATGTTTGCGGCAGTTGCCGAAATTGATTAGAAGTTGTGCCATGTTTTAGCTCAGAACACATGCGGGAAGGTTCTCTTTACTTTCTCCTTTACTTTATTGGTCGTCTGTCAAACTACGATCACAGTGCTTTTGTGTATTTTACTTAAGTAGACGTGTTTTAAAGCCCTTCCAGGTACTTTCTATTTAATGTACCTTATCTGAATTGGGTGGACGTATGTTTAATCGTCCCAAGTTAATCGTAAGTCACTTATTATTGTGGTTGTCTTAGAAGCAGTGGAAAAGCCAGCTTTCGATCCTCGACTATATCACCCCAATCAGAAACACTGGTCCATGTTCAAGACTCTGGAATTCGTGGCCAGATAGGCCAATATTTCCTTCAATTTAATTAATCCCTAGTGGTGGGTGGGTTGGTAAGGTCTCTTTAATTGCCAGACTCAAAAGTCAAAGGAAACAAGAATAAAGCATTCCTACAAGTAGCATGGCAACAATTTAACGTTAGGACGATAAAGCATAAGTAGTTCCATAAGAGGTTAAATTTGGTCTGTTTGAACGACTCAATATGGAAGTTGATTTTGGTCAATATTAAGTCAAAAATGGCATTCGATTTCTACTATGTTGGGATTTGTGCCCACTCGAGAGACTTCTACGATCACTATTCCTAGAAAGCACCCAATCAAAGGGAGCAGTGAAGTTTGAGGAAAATCACGCAGAATTTGAGATTACTTCCCCAGTAATTAAAGAACAGAAAAAATTTCACATTGTTCGTGCTATTATGTGAGAATAGAAGATTCCAACAGAATTCCAACCTAACATTTCTAGTAAATATTGCAAATTAAGGCCAATTGCAAAAATGTGAAGCAAATGAATAGATCTAAAACAAGTTTGAATGACAACTAATAGCTGTTTTGCTGACCTTGGGTGCAAGGCCACTTAGTTTGGCCTTAATACCGCTGATCACAACATAGCCCCTTACCAAACTTGACTAGGGCAATATTGAGCAAATATTGACTGAATCGATCAGCAGAGTGCCTAAAGCATGCTGAATCCTCAATGCCTCTGAGTGGCGATTTCTTCTGGAAGGTGTAAGCAGGTTCTCTTGCCAAAGACATTCAAATCCTCATCTGCCGAGTGATAACTGCTTTGTCTAGAAGAGGTTGACTGAGGCATCCTCAAGGATAGATGTGAACTAACTAGAATCCTCAAGTTCATCCACAACCACTTATCCAATGTCTAATTAGAAGGGTTACGTGATAGACTTACCTTCACGTGGTGCACCCTAGTCAACGTATACTCATATGGCAAAAAGTTCATGCACCTACATTTGACGTCTGATTTCAAGCTACCATGCCATATTTGACAACTCTCACAGTGCTCACCTCACCTCACCTTTTTTCCCCTCTTTTGTGACTGTCTTCCTTACCTCTGTGAATTACTTTTCTGTAACACCTCTCGAGTTTTTGCGACATTTTGGCTCTCTCCCTCCCCCTCATGTCTGTGACGCCGAAGTCAACTAAATGGGCTGATGGTAACTATCAGAAAGTCTGCCACTCGTTACAAATAAATGGTTGATTAGAATGATTTACATCTTTTTACCGAGTGCAATAAAATTCATCAAGAGAAATTTCTATTTGAAGGCACTAAATTGCACATTGCAAATACACCATGATTAAACAGCTTCATTAATGCGGTAATATAAAACTCATACTCTAAAGTATGCGTTCAAAGCGTAAACAAGAACGATAATAAATCGGTAGTAAAGTTCAAAAAGCAGTTGGTAGATTGTGCATTTATAAAGTCAGCTCAATTAGGTGGTAAAAATGTCACATACTATCACTTCTGAAAGTATCAAAATTGACAAAAAGTAAATATTAAGAAAATATCAACAGCACAGGAGGTAACTTGTAAACTCCACTCAGAGATTTCACTTATCCCCTTCCGAATGGACAACATCTGCAAGGTTCTCACCATCAGTGTCAGGCAAACAGCAGGTTAAAACAAGTTGGAGTAACAGAACACCTCCATAGATTATCACGGGGACACCATGACCCAGTTGCAAGTCAAGTTGATTAATAAAACTGCACAGCATGCTACCGACTCTTCCAAGACCAGTTGCATTCCCAAATCCTTGGCTCCGAATGCTCGAGGGGAATAATTCAGGTGTGTAAATGAAAAGCATGTTCAAAGAAGCTCCGAGCAAAACTAAAGTGATGTTGCAGCACACAATCAAGGGGATTTCTGACTCGGGCTTACCCACCACTGTGTAGAGACCACCGATGAGAAGAATTGCAACTGACATGCCGTAGAGGACTAAGAGAGGTTTCCTACGACTTTTAAGTCTCCAATAAAGAAGAGTTGAAATCAGAGTTCCAGGAATTGAAGTTAGACCGTTTAATATGGAGACGTAGTACACTGAACCTCGAATGACCTGAGTATAAAAGAGCATTCCAAAGAAGGCACACATTTGACCAGTGAAAAGGAGTGTGGAAATTACCGACCTCTTGGCGATATCAGTGTTTTGGTAGGGTGCAGCAAAGCCTTTTCCAACGCCTCTTAAAAAGCTTGTCAGCTTGAACGCCTTCTTCGGTTTCTTAGGACCATCGCTGACGTTAGGATGACTCGTCTCTTCAAGAAACTCTTCAAACGTTAATCGTCGTCCACTTTTGCAAGTGGAATTCACCTTATATGCTTTGTAAAGTGTCTTAAGGGCCGCTCTATCCCTGTCTTGTGAGACAAGCCATCGGGGCGATTCTGGCAAGCCGAGAATTGCAAACAGACCAATGAATCCGGGTATCATTATCATGAGATGAAGATACCGCCACTCATGAATAAACATCGCGCATAGAGCATGCAGTATGCGATAAAGACACTGAAAAAAGAAGGAGAATATGGCAGAGAAGAAGGCACGATAACGAGCAGTTGTAATCTCCACTGTGATCACAGACACTGCTGCCACCTTGACTGTACATGCAGCTGCCAGGAAGAAGCGCAGTGCAATATACCACTCATAAGTTGGAGCGAATGTGACTGCCAGACCGAAAGCACATTCAACGATGGTTGCCAAGTAAAGAGCCCTCTTCCGACCTAGCAGACCACTCAGGAAACCTCCCGACAAGAAGCCCATCATCATTCCAAACATATAGACGGAAGTGGAGAAAGGATTCTTCCAGGAATCTTCACATACCAGGTCCCACTCGGCAACTATTGTGCTCGGATATTGATTTTCCATCGATTCATAGACATATCCATTTACACAGGATTCGGTGGACCTAGCACCTCCACTTTCCTTTGGACTAGTTAAATTAAGATCTTTGAATCGTGAGCAACCATATGAGTGTTGATTGACAGTGACGTCTTCATCTGTGGCAAACCAGGGCCCAACTAGTCTGGCTGCTTCGTCGAATGTGAGATGCCTTGTTTCATTTTCAAATTCTCCTCCTGCAACCAACTTATTAGCCAAATAGGCCTCGTTTGCCTCATCTAAAGCACACCGGTATCGAGGCACGGCGTTGGAGAAAACTGGGAAAAGAACAGGAACGGACATCGAAATACAAACAACCAGTAGAATGGCGTTTTGCCATAATCCTCGGGGACCAGTCACCTTCTCTAGCACTTCGTCAACATTGACACGCTTTGGAGCCTCCTCTTGAAGCATCTCCGCAATATGTAAATGCCGAATTCAAGCTGTCAGGATGCAGCCGTGTTATAGTGGAAGGTAAAAGTGAATCGTAGTTGTCTGCATGCAATATGCTAAACATTTACTGACAACTAGTTTTTGCCATCCAATCACATTTCCCTTCCATTTGTTCAGTTACCCAATCA